AAAAGTGTTTTAGTTTCTTTGTCAGTTAACAATTCAATAAAAGTGTTTTAGTTTCTTTGTCAGTTAACAACTGAGACTTTTATTGAATTGTTAACTGACAAAGAAACTAAAACACTTTTGGAACCTTCGACGCCTTTTCTTCTTCCAATAATACCCTTTCGTACCCACATTACTCGTTTGCCACGTGTCCTGATGGACGGATCAGATTCCTCTAGACTTGCTCCATATAACCCAGACGGGCGCCTGCGGGACAAAAACGACATAGAAGAAGAAGATTCTCGTTATATTAGCAGTTCCCTTCTCTTTCCCATGCAGTCGATCCAGCTCGCCCTTGCCCTCTCAATCCCCTCTTCTGTTCCCCCTTCTCATCGCCTCCAGCCTCCGCCGCCCAGTGTCTGGAAGAACAGCGCGCCATGATGAATTCGCTTATGGAAGAGCAAGCAAATCTTAGAAGAGTGAGCTTTCTATATGATCCTTTTCCATAATCTTGACGAGGCTCTAACAGTTCTTCTTTTCTTCTGTCATCTTTCCTCAGGAAACAGAAGCTTACAGAAGACGACTCGAGATACAGAAAGCAAGCAACTCCGTGCTCCAAGAAATGGTTGGTGGACTCTTACTCTTTCTCGTTTGCCTTGTCTTCCCTCTCCGAGGAGGATTCCCGCTAACCCTTCATTGAAACTTTCAGCCGGAAAAGGCGGCGGCTGCTGCTCCTGCTCATCACAATAACCTGGACCTGGAACTCCGCCTCCGTCAGCCATCACCACCGGCGTTGGTCCGCCACCCGACGCTCGATGGCGTCCGACCGCCGGGGGAGACGACCGCAGCATGGCAGTCGGGATGGGAGCTGCAAATGCAAATGCAAAGCGCGGACAGCAAGGTGGCGTCGTGGTTGGCGAGGAAGCGGAGGATGGAGATAGTGAGGGAGAAGAAGATGCACAAGCGAGCAAGGCGATCCGACTGAAGCGGAGTGGTCTTGAAGATTACTGAGTTGCTTCTTCCTCCACATGATGACTCCCTTTCTTTGGTTTCTTGTTGGATTCCGGCTGTCACTGCGAGATTATACGAAAGCAATTGAATTCAAAGAATGAGAGACTCTGTTCATGAGTTCTTTCATTTTTTGTTTAATGCTGGCGAAGAACTGCAAATCTATGCAGGATATATAAAGTATCAACTTGATTAAATTGATCTTTCTCAGGGAATAATTGATCCAAAATGCTTCGTGTAAGCCAATGGTTGTTGATCGATATAGTTCTATAGATGCACTCAATTCTGGACATTGAAAGTTGATAAGGGAATATTCTGGTAATCAATCTTGTCTCTCCGATTCGTCGAGACGTTAACGTGAAAAAACAAGGGTTCAATCATCCCTCTTAGAACACTGATATGGAGGAATGTGATTTGTCGACCCCGTGGACACAAGTCCACGGAGGGCCATTTGGGCTAGCCCGGTCGACGTCCATAGACAACAATCTATAGGTGATCGATCGGGTCTGTCTGCCCCCCCTAGCCCGGTCGACGTCCATAGGCAACAATCTATGAGTGATCGATCGGGTCTATCTATGCCACCCCCCCTTATGAAGATGTTATAGTCATTACAGGCCTACTGCCTCCATTGATGGAATATCAGTGGGAAGGTGTTATGGCCATTACAAGTGATTCCTTTGATCGAGTAGGTATAAAAGTCAACCCCCAATGCCAGTCCAAGGGTCAGATATATTTATAATTAACCCTCTTACATTACAAAATCATCCCAAAACTAACATAAGCATCGGAGGGGCTGTGCCAAGAAACACCCCCAACCAACACTAGCCTTTATGTAGGGACTCATCGACAAGTCAAAATCCTCCTCGGCCCACTCTCAGGCCCACCTCAGATGCTTAAACTCTACTCGAAAGACCATCTCGGTGCCACCTCATCCACCTCGGGGCCCAATCAATCACCTCGAAGAACTATAACGTAGGATTTTCGGACGCCCTGTGCCTTTAGGTCTGGATTGAACTGGTAAGTAGGTTTGATTCAAGTTGGCAAATAACTTAAAATAAATAAGTTTACTATATCATCATCAAACTAATATACTAAATATATACAAATATAAAAACTAAAATTAATGGAAGTAAGAGTGTTGAGCTAAGGATGAGACTAGGTGCAAGTAGGATTAGGTTGCTTGGTGATAGGAATTATTGACTTAAAAGACTTTGATACTTATGCAATAACTTATATACATAGTAGGAGTGTTCATCGCCATTCTAAGATGACAAATTCGATATCATGGAGCATACAAATTTTCTCTTTGACATGGTAGGAAAGGTAATGTCCAAGGGACTCTAATTGTGTAGTGAATTCAGTATATGTTGTTAAGCGTTATGAGCACAACAAAAAGTTATATCATCAAAGAGTCATGATCTAGCAAATGCATTTATAATAATGAAATAGTGTATAATATTGTTCTCGGCAAGATAGAGTATTCCAAGAAGATGATCATCTCCAAATTTTCCAAGAAAAGAATATGAAGAGGAAAGCTACTCTAACATGACAAGTATCCAAGGGGTAAGTCTTGAGTTTTTTAGTGAAGAATTTGTGTAATAAACCACATATTTCAAGAAGATATCTCGAGATGGAATCTTTCTAAAGTTCCAAAGAGGTCAAAATTGAGTAAGCAACAAATATTCATCACAAGATCTTACATGAAGTGATGCATTATGAAATTAAGTGGGGACTCAAAATGAAGGCAATACCAAAGATAAAGATACACATAGAGCTGATGAGAAAAACATTAGACACAACAAAGGACTAACCTATGCAGTGATGGACACAAGGGCCACCATCATCTCAATACAGACCAAGAAATATAGAACTTTGGTTAGACTTAGTGTTTAACCCAAGCCACATAAAAATAGTCGACTTAAAATGTGAACATGGAGCGAAAGCGCTAACTTTATGAAACTTTTTCTTAGATAGAGATCAAGGACATAAATACTTACAAAGGCAAAATTGGAATCATATTGTACCTTAGTTTTCTCATTATAATGGGGCAAAGTCATTTTGTATGATACCAAAGTCAAAGTGGGCTTCCAGGCATATACACCTTATATTCGTGAGGTGATTAATGAAAGGATTAAGATAAGAGATAAACACAACTTGTAGCGATGTAGTTGGAGTCTGATGGCCTCGGCATAGGACATAAGGCTATAAAGGCGGGTGTCTTTGAAAAATATGTTGAAGTGTTATTGTTCCGGTTGCCACAAAGAAAATGATACATAACAAAGATTGTGTTGAAGTTAAAAGACCTAAAATCTAAACAATGCTATACTAATTTTTGTTAGGAATGAGTTGGCACTAAGGGAGGGGGGGGGGGGGGTGAATTAGTGCAGCGGTAAAAATCACGTCGTTCTGAAAATCTCTTCGTTTCATACGATAAAAAATGATTTCGGAAACTTGAAAGCATATGCGATGTAGGTGTAGTAAAAGCACAATAAGAAGGTAAGGAGGTTTGCAGTAAGATAAATTGCACAAAAGTGAAGGCAAACCGAATTTTTATAGTGGTTCGATCGTCGTGACCTACATTTTTATAGTGGTTTGGAGATATTGCTAGGAGGCAATACAATATTGTGAGTCATAGTGTAATAGTTCTAGACAATACAATATTATGATAAATCCCATGAGAGAGAGAGACTTAATTATCCAAAGAAATTGTTGGAATTGTTAGGAGCCAATTTGAGTTTTGATAGGAGGCAATACAACATGTGGCAAGTTTGGTGCCGGGAGAGAAATGAATTTGATAGGGGTCCTACAAAACTACATTGAAGGCATCCTTGAGAAAAAGAGTGTTATATACTCCCATTATTCGAGAGAGCCTTAGAAACGCACATGAGACTTTTTCACATGGAGTTCTGAAAACCATTGAAGTTACTTGGAGAGTTATCCCATGAAGATAATTTTATGAAATCATTGATCATTGCTCGATCTTGGAAAGGTTTATCGAACCATCTAAGCATTTCAATTACACATAGATTTGTGTTAATGAGACTCTGAACCTAACTTATGTGTCAAGGTGACCAAGCATCCAAGATGACATGGAAGGCTAATATTGAGTCGACATTGATATGAATAATATTGATATATCGATGTATTGAACTAACAAGGTGTCTAACAAGATGTCTAATAAGATGTGATATGATGACACATTGTCAACATGTTAATTACTACAAACATCTGAGGAGGTATTTTTAACATAATTTATACATAATATCAAATCTTGTGATATGTAATTTCAAATGAATAGTGTATAATAGTTACACTATATATATATATATATATATATATATATATATATATATATATATATATATATATATATATATAT